ATGTCTTGATAGGTGTATTGCATCAAATGGAGAGCACTTTTGAAGGTGACTGAAGTTTAAACATGTAAGAATAAGTATACAATTTTAAAAATTCTGATATTGCTGGGTTTCCCCTCCTATACTTACTTGCAAACATGCCCTCCTCTTGCAGTAAGTTGTTTAGAACAAGATAAAGTTGTGAGCATTTGGGTGTCCTGACAAAACTCAGTTTATCTTTGAATTGCAACCTCCCAAATAATGTCAGAAAGTAAACTTAAGAATAATGGATGGATGATTATGCAGTGTGGTTTTTAATCTGTACTGCTTATTAATTTACTCTTATTTGAAGTTTGGGTGCTTTGGTATATATAAATGTTCACTTTATCTTTTCAAGGTGGGAAACTTTAGATAGCTTCATGCAACATGATGTTCAAGAGCTATGCCGCGTGGTAAGTTTTCAGCTATAAGTACATACTACTGACATTTAATATGTTGAAGCACTGTCAGAAGTTGTTATCAAGTAATACCTCAGGCATACTTCATGCTACCATAATTTAGATGAGCCCATGTTTGTTCGGGCCCAAAACTAGGCTAGAAGGAAAAAGCCGCATTTATATAGTTTAAAAGCCAGAAAGAATAAAAAAATTATTTGAGAGGGAAGTCTGAGGGGGAAACTTGAATTTAAATATTGTAGTAGGATAATGTGTTAATTGGAATATCTACTTGAGTTGTTATGGGCTGGAGTAGCTGTTCTGACTCCCGGCTTCAGTTTGCAAGAGTGACTTCTGTTATTACCCTGCAGCATCCAGACCCCTTCTTTGCACAGAACTTGTGGTTGAGGCAGACCTCTGTGTGAGTGATTCTCCCCAAAACCAGCTCTAGTCACTAGCAAATTCCCATTCTTTCAGTTGTGATGAAAGATGCACAAACACACACACAAAACATGAAATGGCTATTCAAGGTGATTGGCTGGGCAAGGTGTGTTTTCTTTTTTGCAGCACTAGCTGGATTGAATCCAGTTCATTAAATACCCATGGACAAACCAGTCAATCCTGTTGACAGGCTCAACCTCATTAATCTCTTGGTGTGGACCAATACGAGTTAAGTTTAGTGCTCAATTTACATGCTTTTCCACAGAGGTAAAATGAATATAAAAAATGCTTCTAAAGGCACTACAGATTACTAATTCATTCCGGAGGCTGTTTAGAGGGTTAATCTCAACTGTTGCATGTAGATATTTTTGTAACCATCCAACCAAGAAAGAAGATTTTGTATGTTTTTGATAATTGCATGCCAAAGGTCATACTATTTATAGTCTTAGAATGTCTTGGACCATTGCAATTTCCTAGTCACATTGCAAATTACTGTATGTTGATTAAGCATAACATTCTCTTAAAGCCCAAACTTTCTCTTCCAGTTGCTTGATAACGTGGAAAATAAGATGAAAGGCACATGTGTAGAAGGCACCATACCTAAGTTATTCCGAGGCAAAATGGTGGTATGTGATTATCACTTTATTTTTTTTAATTTTATTTAGTTATTTTTCAAGTACAGTATTCTGTCTATTTCTCGATTCCCAGCCCACCCGCCCCGTGATCCCCACCTCCCTCCCATTTCCACCCCCCTTAGTTATTGTCCCTGTGTCCTTTATACTTGTTCCTCCAATGATTATCACTTTAAAAGGATAATTTTAAAATATTTTGAAATGTGTACATTCTGCTGATTAATAATGCTTGTGCCATCTTTCCCTCGTTTGCAGTCCTATATCCAGTGTAAAGAGGTGGACTATCGATCTGATAGAAGAGAAGATTATTATGATATCCAGCTGAGCATAAAAGGAAAGAAAAACAGTAAGTTCTATGCACACAGTTGCCTGCTGACCATCTGATCATTTAGTTGTGATTCAGTGCTTTACTCACGCAAGTGCTCCTGATTAAGCTTGCGCGTAGAGAGAAAACTGCCAAATGATGAGTACACAGCTCACAGAGTGGAGAGGCAGGTCAAGAAACAGAACTTTGCTGGCTCACCCAGCCCTGTCTCAGTCCTTCCCCGTCACTACGTCCTCCTCAGAGGAGACCACTGTTTGGGATTCTAATGTCCTATTATAGGTTATTATTTACATGTGGAAAATACTTATGTAGGTTATAGTGTTTCTCATTTACTTTGCTCAGTATACTGTCTGTGGAATTTCACCTATGTTTCAAGTAACAATAATTTAGTTACTTTTATTGATTATAGTATTTCACCTTGCAGACATACTGCAAGAGTTTTGGGACTGTCTACTGTTTATAGTGTGAAGCTGTAGGCATGAGCCCCTTGTCTACCTTGGTTTTTTTCTCTTTCTGGTGCACATATATTTGCATTTACGGTGAGCGGGATGGCTGGCTTACAGGGGACACTGTACATGTTCAAGTTAATAGGTAAAGCCAGCAAGTTTCCCACAGTGTGAACCTTATCATCTTCACACAGCCCTCCTCCCCAGAATTGTGTGAGAGCTGTCAGTTGCCAGACTAGACGTTTTGGCGGGAATATGGTGCTATCTTGGTTTTAAGTTATACTTCCCTGATCATAAGCACCTTTTCATGTGCTTACTGGCAGTTTGGGTACTGCCTGACCATAATGCAATACAGTTAATACTAACTTAGTGTCCTTGTCTACAAACTGTCACCTCGGTGACTTCTGGGTCTGCTTCTGTTGAGTCATCTTTGTCTTTACCATGGGCTGTATTTTCCAGCCTCATTGTGTGTCTGGTAATGTGTTATTGGATGCCGGCCATTGTGAGTGTATTCTTGTTGGGTGTCGAATATTCTTATCCTTTGTTCTGGGGGACAGCTAAGTTACCTGGCAATGATTTGTATTTTTCAAGGCTTGCTTTGTAAGTTTTGTGTAGGGTTTTATAACAGTTTGTGGGAGTGCAACAGTTTCTAGTTGAGAGCTAATTTGTGCCCATAACTGAGGCCACAGCTTTCTGAGTTTTGAGCCTGATGTGCCTGACTTAGGAGGCTTTTCCACTATGGCGGGAGGGAACACCCACTAGTCCCAGGCTGTAGGAGTGCCGGGGCTGTTCCCCAATCCTTGCGATGCTTCTTTCTCCAGCCCCAGATGATTTCCTCACTGTACTGAATGTGATTAGCAGTCACAGAAGGCTCCAGGAGAACCCCCTGCAAGTCTCTGTAACTCTCTTCCTGTGCAACTTTCTGTTCTTGGGCACTCTGTCCTACAGATTGGAGCTGCCTTGGGCCCCTTGTCTCTGGGACGGCCGGCCCTGTTTGGGTTTCTCTTTGCTGTGCTGTGGCCTGGAAAGTACACAGTAGCTGGGACACTCGACAGGCTGTCTCTGGGTCCACCACTTTCACTGCCTGTGGTCCAGAGCATGAACTCTGTTGTTTTCCACAGAGTCCAGTGTTTCACTTGTTCAGTGCAGGAGAATAGGCCAGTTCCTGTTCTTCTTTCACCACTACGGCAGGAGTTCTTCCTGTGCTGTGGATGCTAATTCTTGGTGAAGTTACTGAGATCATCCCCCCAGACTGAGATCATCCTGTGCTTACCTTTTCACTCTTCTAATGTTGGCATTTGTTTCACAGAATCTGATAATTTTAGTGATCCCCAGTGTATCCATCTTTGCTTTTTGTGTCCTAAGAACCCCTGCCCTGAAATCGTAAGATACTCTCTTACTTGTTATTTTTTAATCTTTTCTATTTATTTACTGCCTGTTACCATTTGTAAGACCTTCAGGAAACCATGTCAGTCTCCTTAAGGTTTTCACCTTGGTTAGATTGGTGAAGGTGTGAAGGGCACATTTAACTGGTCTGTGTTGGAGGCTGAGAGTTACCACTGAAGGCCAGTTACTGACATTCCCTTCCCTGGCATTCCTAAATGTACTTGAGTTGGCTTTATTATAATGGAAGCTTTACTGATAACTTCAGCTGACCTTTCTCTTTCTCTCTTTAAAGTATTTGAATCATTTGTGGATTATGTGGCAGTAGAACAACTAGACGGTGACAACAAATATGACGCCGGGGGAGCACGGCTTGCAGGTAATCTGGGAATTTTGTGCCAGTGTCTTGGTGTAGCTTTTCATTTACACGTGAATTTTTTTGCTTACCTCTGAACTAAGAATTTCCTCATATCTTTCCCTGTTGTGCTGGTATCTAGCACTCAAAAGGATTTTATTTCTTGATGTGGGCATTTTATTTTAGAGAACTCTGAGTGTGTTGCTGGTATGATAGAATGGGAAGGGGCCAAGGAAGGTGTTAGCAGGAAATGGACATAGAGCTTGTTCATCAGAGGTAGGGCCGTCACCTGGCACATTGAAGCTCAGTCCCTGTGTTTGAAGACTTTTTCCCATTTCATCCGTTATTCTGTTTCTCCCCTTACTGGTGTCAGTGCCCGGGGTTCTCTCAGTTTCCTCCACTCATAAGTAGAATTTGTGAGTCCTGTGGAGTCTGGTATTGGCCGATGTTATTTTGCTCTTTTGTGGGATGGAGTTAACAGTTTTCTGAGGATCACGACTTCTAGAATGAGGGGTTCATTTTCTGTTATTCATTCCCTGACACTTGGTATCCCTGCTTGTTTTCACATTGCCCTTGAGGAACTCCAGGCTGCTGGCAGAACAGTGAGCGTCAGGTAGACATGGGCTGTGGCCAGTTCCTGGCTGGTGGGAGGGTCAGCAGCACCATCACTGGGCTGGTCCTCCAGGGTCTCTGTTGCAGCCTCATAACCTTGACTCATAGGCTCAACCGATTTACAGTTTTTCAGATCATGCTGTGTTCTCCAAGCCGGCTCCTTTATAACTCACAGTACCATTTTGCTGTGGGCCACAGCTCTGGTCTGGTTCTGCTGGTGAGGCCACTTCGGGCACCAAGTTGCATATCGGGAAGTCCCGTGGCAAACATGCATCTGGATGTGCTAGGAGACACTGTTAACTCAGAAGAATTGTCTTTATCCATGCTGGATATTTGGGTCTGGACAAGCAATACATATTTTAGAATCAGTGGAAAGGGTGGAGAAACAGAATTCTTGTATCATTCTTTCAGGTAGCGTTGAAGCCATGCCATTCCCTTGTGTGGTAGTAGGTTCCTGGGATTTGTGTTTTTCCTTCCAGACACCCTGTCCTCTTAAATGTGCTAGTGTATGTCATAGAACATTGCCAAGTAGGTTTGCTTTGTCACAGCCACTGGTTGGACATTCTGTAGCAGGTCATTGACTAAATGTTTATAGTGCAGAGGGAAGGTCTGGGTTGGAAATATATCTGATCAGGGTTTCTGATGGTTGTTGGTGGCTGAGTTTGGCAGAGGCTTATCGTAGTGAAGGAAAAAGAGTAGGGTGAGGTGGAGCAGAGAAGGAGGCAGGTGTCAGAGCTGTAGAGTGACAGTTTGCTCCACAGAAGCTGAGTTTGGAAGCTGGGGTGTCCTGTAGCCCAGAGGCTGACAGTAACTATGGAAAGGTTGTGTTGGTGGTTAAAGTGTCTTGCTGATAGTCACTCAGGGCATTCTGTAGAAGTTTGAACAGTAAGCACTGAGTGCATGCTCCACCATGTGTGTTCTTAAGTAGACATGAAGGTGTAGGGAAAGGAAGCTGGTTACTTACAGTCCTGATCATGACTGTTCACCTGTACTTATTCTGTCCAGGTGTTCCACCGCACACCTAAGCTCATAACCTGGTAACCAGTCTTCTGTTTTTCCATGTAGTGTTTTTTTCCCCTCTGTGTTTTTCATATTCTTCCATGTTTAATGACTATATAATACATCAGAAAGTGACCAGGCTTTCATTTACTTAACTGTTCCCCTGTGGTGAGATATCAAGATAGAACCAAATCCAAAGGGGCAATCTCTCACAAGCTGTTGCAGCATTATTCTAGGAGCAGTAAATACGGGTGTAAACAACGTTTCAGAGGAACCTTAGATGATGCCTAAACATTGCCTCTTCCCACCAGAAATCCCGAATGTGTTTGGGTCTTACAGAAATGCTGTTGCCAGTACCAGGCTGTTTTGATTACAGTGGCCTTGTAATACAGTTTGATATCAGGTATTGTGAACCCTCCTACTTTGTTCTTCTTTCTCAAAAGTGTAGCTGCTATTCAGGGTCATTTATGGTTCCGTATAAATTTTTGAAGTGTTTGTTCTATGTCTGTGAAATATGCCATTGGAACTTTAATAGGTATTGCATTGAATCTGTAAATTGCTTTGGGTAGTATTGACATTTTGATGATGTTAATTCTTCCAATCCATGAACACGGTATATGTTTCCATTTGTTTGTGTCTTCCTTGATTTATTTCTTCAGTGTTGTGTAGTTTTCTTCATACAGGTCCTTTACCTCCTTGGTTAGGTTTATCCCCAGATATTTTATTTTTGTTTTTGCTATATTGAATGGGTTTTTTTCCTTGATTTCTGCTTCTGCTGATTCATTGTTGGTATACAAAAATGCCTTTGATTTCTGGATATTGACTTTGTAACCTGCTGTTTTGCCAAATTCATTAATTAGTTTGAGCAGTTTTTTGGTAGCGTCTATAGGATTTTCCATGTACACTATCATGTCATCTGCAAACAGTGACAGTTTTGTTTCCTCCTTTCTGATTTGGATGCCTTTTATTTCTTTCTTGCCAGATGACTGTGGCTAAAACTTCCAATACTATATTGAATAGGAGTGGTGAAAGTGGACATCCTTGTCTTGTTCCTGATCTTAGTGGAAAAGCTTTTAGTTTTTGCCCATTGAGTATGATATTGGCTGTAGGTCTCTCATAAATGGCCTTTATTATATTGAGTAATGCTCCCTCTATTCCCATTTTGCTGAGTGTTTTTTTTTAATTTTTTTAATTAAATTTTATTTAGTTACTTTTCAAGTACATTTTTTTTTCTATTTCTCCCCTCCCACCCACCCCCACCCGTCTCCCTCATCCCTCCCATTCCCCCCTGCCAAGTCCTCATACCTGTGTCTTTCATACTTGTTCCTCAAAATTCCTCCCCCTTTTTCCCCTTAAATTCCCTTCCCTCTCCCCTCTGGTCGCTGCCCACTTGTTCTCTATTTCAGTGTCTTTGTTTTTATTCTGTTTGCTTGTTTGTTTTATTCTTTAGCTTCCTGTCAAAGGTGAGATCATATGGTATTTGTCCTTCAATGCCTGGCCTATTTCACTCAGCATAATGCTTTCCAGTTCCATCCATGTTGTTGCAAAAGGTAATAGCTCCTTCTTTCTCTCTGCTGCATAGAATTCCATTGTATATATGTACCACAGTTTTTTGATCCATTCGTTTACTGATGGGCACCTAGGATGCTTCCAACTCTTGGCTATTGTAAATTGTGCTGCTATGAACATTGTGGTGCATAGGTTCTTTGAAATTGATGTTTTAGGATTCTTGGGGTATAATCCTAGCAGTGGAATTACTGGGTCAAAAGGCAGGTCAATTTTTATTTTTTTGAGAAAATTCCATACTGTTTTCCATAATGGTTGTACCAGTCTGCAATCCCACCAACAGTGAACTAAGGTCCCCTTTTCCTCACAACCTCTCCAACATTTGTTGTTTGTTGCTTTGTCTATTATAGCCATCCTGACTGGTGTAAAGTGGTATCTCATTGTGGTTTTAATTTGCATCTCTCTGATAGCTAACGATATTGAGCATCTCTTCATGTGTCTCTGGATGTTCTGTATGTCCTCCTTGGAGAAGTGTCTGTTCAAGTCCTTTTCCCATTTTTTAATTGGGTTATTTGTCTTCCTAGAGTGGAGTCGTGTAAGTTCTTTGTATATTTTGGAGATTAAACCTTTGTCTGAGGTATCATTGGCAAATATGTTTTCCCATACAGTTGGTTGTCTTGCTAATTTAATACTGTTTTCTTTAGCCATGCAGAAGCTTTTTATTTTGATGAGATCCCATTTGTTTATTCTTTCCTTTATATTCCTTGCTCTAGGGGACATATCCGTAAAAATGTTGCTGCGTGGAATATCTGAGATTTTCCTGCCTATGTTCTCCTCTAGGACTTTAATGGTGTCACGGCTTATATTTAAGTCTTTTATCCACCTTGAATTTATTTTGGTGTATGGTGTAAGTTGGTGCTCAAGTTTCATTTTTTTTGCACGTAGCTGTCCAGTTCTCCCAACACCATTTGCTGAAGAGGCTATCTTTACTCCATTTTATGTTACTGCCCCCCTTTGTCAAATATCAATTGACTGTAGAGGGTTGGGTTGATTTCTGGGCTCTCTGTTCTGTTCCATTGGTCTATGTGCCTGTTTTTATGCCAGTACCAGGCTGTTTTGATTACAGTGGCTTTGTAATACAGTTTGATATCAGGTATTGTGATCCCTCCTACTTTGTTCTTCTTTCTCAAAAGTGTAGCTGCTATTCAGGGTCATTTATGGTTCCGTATAAATTTTTGAAGTGTTTGTTCTATGTCTGTGAAATATGCCATTGGAACTTTAATAGGTATTGCATTGAATCTGTAAATTGCTTTGGGTAGTATTGACATTTTGATGATGTTAATTCTTCCAATCCATGAACACGGTATATGTTTCCATTTGTTTGTGTCTTCCTTGATTTATTTCTTCAGTGTTGTGTAGTTTTCTGCATACAGGTCCTTTACCTCCTTGGTTAGGTTTATCCCCAGATATTTTATTTTTGTTTTTGCTATATTGAATGGGTTTTTTTCCTTGATTTCTGCTTCTGCTGATTCATTGTTGGTATACAAAAATGCCTTTGATTTCTGGATATTGACTTTGTAACCTGCTGTTTTGCCAAATTCATTAATTAGTTTGAGCAGTTTTTTGGTAGCGTCTATAGGATTTTCCATGTACACTATCATGTCATCTGCAAACAGTGACAGTTTTGTTTCCTCCTTTCTGATTTGGATGCCTTTTATTTCTTTCTTGCCAGATGACTGTGGCTAAAACTTCCAATACTATATTGAATAGGAGTGGTGAAAGTGGACATCCTTGTCTTGTTCCTGATCTTAGTGGAAAAGCTTTTAGTTTTTGCCCATTGAGTATGATATTGGCTGTAGGTCTCTCATAAATGGCCTTTATTATATTGAGTAATGCTCCCTCTATTCCCATTTTGCTGAGTGTTTTTTTTTTAATTTTTTTAATTAAATTTTATTTAGTTACTTTTCAAGTACATTTTTTTTTCTATTTCTCCCCTCCCCCCCACCCCCACCCGTCTCCCTCATCCCTCCCATTCCCCCCTGCCAAGTCCTCATACCTGTGTCTTTCATACTTGTTCCTCAAAATTCCTCCCCCTTTTTCCCCTTAAATTCCCTTCCCTCTCCCCTCTGGTCGCTGCCCACTTGTTCTCTATTTCAGTGTCTTTGTTTTTATTCTGTTTGCTTGTTTGTTTTATTCTTTAGCTTCCTGTCAAAGGTGAGATCATATGGTATTTGTCCTTCAATGCCTGGCCTATTTCACTCAGCATAATGCTTTCCAGTTCCATCCATGTTGTTGCAAAAGGTAATAGCTCCTTCTTTCTCTCTGCTGCATAGAATTCCATTGTATATATGTACCACAGTTTTTTGATCCATTCGTTTACTGATGGGCACCTAGGATGCTTCCAACTCTTGGCTATTGTAAATTGTGCTGCTATGAACATTGTGGTGCATAGGTTCTTTGAAATTGATGTTTTAGGATTCTTGGGGTATAATCCTAGCAGTGGAATTACTGGGTCAAAAGGCAGGTCAATTTTTATTTTTTTGAGAAAATTCCATACTGTTTTCCATAATGGTTGTACCAGTCTGCAATCCCACCAACAGTGAACTAAGGTCCCCTTTTCCTCACAACCTCTCCAACATTTGTTGTTTGTTGCTTTGTCTATTATAGCCATCCTGACTGGTGTAAAGTGGTATCTCATTGTGGTTTTAATTTGCATCTCTCTGATAGCTAACGATATTGAGCATCTCTTCATGTGTCTCTGGATGTTCTGTATGTCCTCCTTGGAGAAGTGTCTGTTCAAGTCCTTTTCCCATTTTTTAATTGGGTTATTTGTCTTCCTAGAGTGGAGTCGTGTAAGTTCTTTGTATATTTTGGAGATTAAACCTTTGTCTGAGGTATCATTGGCAAATATGTTTTCCCATACAGTTGGTTGTCTTGCTAATTTAATACTGTTTTCTTTAGCCATGCAGAAGCTTTTTATTTTGATGAGATCCCATTTGTTTATTCTTTCCTTTATATTCCTTGCTCTAGGGGACATATCCGTAAAAATGTTGCTGCGTGGAATATCTGAGATTTTCCTGCCTATGTTCTCCTCTAGGACTTTAATGGTGTCACGGCTTATATTTAAGTCTTTTATCCACCTTGAATTTATTTTGGTGTATGGTGTAAGTTGGTGCTCAAGTTTCATTTTTTTTGCACGTAGCTGTCCAGTTCTCCCAACACCATTTGCTGAAGAGGCTATCTTTACTCCATTTTATGTTACTGCCCCCTTTGTCAAATATCAATTGACTGTAGAGGGTTGGGTTGATTTCTGGGCTCTCTGTTCTGTTCCATTGGTCTATGTGCCTGTTTTTATGCCAGTACCAGGCTGTTTTGATTACAGTGGCCTTGTAATACAGTTTGATATCAGGTATTGTGATCCCTCCTACTTTGTTCTTCTTTCTCAAAAGAGCAGCTGCTATTCGGGCTCATTTATGGTTCCGTATAAATTTTTGAAGTGTTTGTTCTATGTCTGTGAAATATGCCATTGGTACTTTAATAGGTATTGCATTGAATCTGTAAATTGCTTTGGGTAGTATGGACATTTTGATGATGTTAATTCTTCCAATCCATGAACACGGTATATGTTTCCATTTGTTTGTGTCTTCCGTGATTTATTTCTTCAGTGTTGTGTAGTTTTCTGCATACAGGTCCTTTACCTCCTTGGTTAGGTTTATCCCCAGATATTTTATTTTTGTTTTTGCTATATTGAATGGGTTTTTTTCCTTGATTTCTGCTTCTGCTGATTCATTGTTGGTATACAAAAATGCCTTTGATTTCTGGATATTGACTTTGTAACCTGCTGTTTTGCCAAATTCATTAATTAGTTTGAGCAGTTTTTGGGTAGAGTCTATAGGATTTTCCATGTACACTATCATGTCATCTGCAAACAGTGACAATTTTGTTTCCTCCTTTCCTATTTGGATGCCTTTTATTTCCTTTTCCTGTCTGATCGCTATGGCTAAAACTTCCAATACTATATTGAATAGGAGTGGTGAAAGTGGACATCCTTGTCTTGTTCCTGATCTTAGTGGAAAAGCTTTTAGTTTTTGCCCATTGAGTATGATATTGGCTGTAGGTCTCTCATATATGGCCTTTATTATATTGAGTAATGCTCCCTCTATTCCCATTTTGCTGAGTGTTTTTATCATATATGGGTGTTGTACCTTATCAAAAGCTTTTTCCGCATCTATTGATATAATCATGTGGTTTTTGTCTTTGCTTTTGTTTATGTGATGTATTACATTTACTGATTTTTGAATATTGAACCATCCTTGCATCCCTGAGATGAATCCCACTTGGTTATGGTGTATGATCTTATTGATATATTGTTGGATGCGATTTGCCAATATTTTGTTGAGGATTTTAGCATCTATGTTCATCAGCAATATTGGCCCGAAGTTTTCTTTCTTTGTTGTGTCTCTATCTGGTTTTGGAATTAGGATGATGCTGGCTTCATAAAAAGAGTTTGGGAGTTTTCCATCCTTCTGGATTTTTTGAAATAGTCTGTGAAGAATAGGGGTTAGCTCTTCCTTAAATGCTTTGTAGAATTCTCCTGTGAACCCATCTTGTCCAGGGCTTTTGTGTGATGGGAGTTTTTTGATTACTGCTTCAATTTCATTTGCTGTTATTAGTTTGTTCAGGTTTTCTGCTTCTTTTTCATTGAGTTTTGGAAGATTGTATTTTTCTAGAAATGTGTCTGTCCCCTAGGTTTTCAAATTTTTGGCATACAGTTCTTCATAGTAATTTCTTACAATCCCTTCTATTTCTGTGGTATCAGTTGTAATCTCTCCTCTTTCATTTCTGATTGTGTTTATTTGTGTCTGTTCCCTTCTTTTCTTGATGAGCCTACTTAAAGGCTTGTCTATGTTGTTTATCTTTTCAAAGAACCAACTCCTGGATTCATTGATCCTTAGAATTGTGCTTTTGGTTTCTATGTCATTTAGTTCTGGTCTGATCTTGGTTATTTCCTTCCCTCTACTTGCTCTGGGCTGTCTTTGTTGTTGTTCAGGCACATAGACCAATGGAACAGAACAGAGAGCCCAGAAATCAACCCAACTCTCTACAATCAATTAATATTCAACAAAGGGGGCAGTAACATAAAATGGAGTAAAAATAGCCTCTTTAACAAATGGTGCTGGGAGAGCTGGACAGCTACGTGCAAAAAAATGAAACTTGAGCACTGACTTACACCAGACACTAAAATAAATTCAAGGTGGATAAAAAACTTAAATACAAGCCATGAAACCATTAAAGTCCTAGAGGAGAACATAGGCAGGAAAATCTCAGATATTTCACGCAGCAGCTTTTTTACTGATATGTCCCCTAGAGCAAGGAATATAAAGGAAAGAATAAACAAATGGGATCTCATCAAAATAAAAAGCTTCTGCATGGCTAAAGAAAACAGTATTAAATTAGCAAGACAACCAACTGTATGGGAAAACATATTTGCCAATGATACCTCAGACAAAGGTTTAATCTCCAAAATATACAAAGAACTTACATGACTCCACTCTAAGAAGACAAATAACCCAATTAAAACATGGGCAAAGGACTTGAACAGATACTTCTCCAAGGAGGACAGACAGAGGATCCAGAGACACATGAAAAGATGCTCAATATCGCTAGCCATCAGAGAGATGCAAATTAAAACCACAATGAGATACCACTTTACACTCATAGGGATGGCTATCATAAACAAAGCAACAAACAGCAAATGTTGGAGAGGTTGTGGGGAAAAAGGGGACCCTAGTTCATTGTTAGTGGGATTGCAGACTGGTACAACCATTATGGAAAACAGTATGGCATTTTTCTCAGAAAACTAAAAATGGTCCTGCCTTTTGACCCAGCAATTCCACTGCTAGGATTATATCCTAAGAACCCTAAAACACCAATCTCAAAGAACCTATGCACCACAATGTTCATAGCAGCACAATTTACAATAGCCAAGAGTTGGAAGCAACCTAGGTGCCCATCAGTAAATGAATGGATCAAAAAACTGTGGTACATATACACAATGGAATTCTATGCAGCAGAGAGAAGGAAGGAGCTACTGCCCTTTGCAGCAGCATGGATGGAACTGGAAAGCATTATGCTGAGTGAAATAGGCCAGGTGTTGAAAGACAAATACCATATGATCTCACCTTTAACAGGAAGCTAAACAACAAAACAAATAAGCAAGCAAAATAAAAACAAAGACACTGAAATAGAAAACAGGGGAACAGTGACCAGAGGGGAGAGGGGAGGGAATTTAAGGGGAGAAAGGGGAGGGATTTAGAGGAACAAGTATAAAGGACACAGGGACAATAAATAACTAAGGGGGGTGGAAATGGGAGGGAGGTGGGGAGCATGGGGCAGGATGGGCTGGGATAGGAGAAATAGAAAACTGTACTTGAAAAATAGTTAAATAAAATTTAAAAAATTTTAAAAAGAAATGCTGTTGCTTTCATTGCTTCAATAAAGAAGTGGTGGTGAACTAAATTTGCATTTCTTTTTCAATGTGCAGGAAGCAGAGAAAGGTGTGAAATTCCTAACATTGCCACCAGTGTTACATCTACAGCTGATGAGATTTATGTATGACCCTCAAACGAACCAAAATAGCAAGATCAATGATAGGTAATCTAAGTGGGGTGTGAAAGTTGAGATTTAATCATCATGTGAATTTTTACTGGGCTTTGTTTAGTTTTGTTTAGTTATTATAAATACATACACACACACACACACACACATTTGGTCTCATCTCTTTTATTTAGGTTTTCTTTCTACCTCGGTGTCCAAGAACTGCTTTGTTTAGTTTTTATAAACACACACACACACACACACACACACACACACACACACACACACACACACATTTGGTCTCATCTCTTGTTTATTTAGGTTTTCCTTCTGCCTCGGTATCCAAGAACTGTAATTTTACAGGGACAGTTTTTCTTCAATTCTGGGGCTGCTCCTTGTGTATCTTTTCCTCAAGGAAGCCCAACCCCTCTGCACTGTGGCCATGAAGTCTGTGAGAAGAGGGTGCTTTCTGCTCCAGTGACTCTGCCGTCACTGGAGTATAGATGTCACCTCACACTTGGAAATTGATATTATTATACTTGTTTCAACAGGATTCTCCAGCATTTTGTAACATCTCAGTTGGTGTTGACGTGTAGAATACAGTACAGTTTTCAGGAACGCTGAAGTAGGCGTGCACATGCCCCGTTTCAGGAGTCTTCTAAATATAAGGACTAAATACAAGGATGATACTATGCACTACTTTCTCTGGTTTAGAATATAGAATTTTTATCCTGATTCATTTGAGCACCAACTTTGTACAGGATAGAGATTGGACAGTCACCCTTGAGACTTGAGGGGGGAATGTAACCCAACCCAATTACTTGCCGCCACCTGGGTCTTTGCTTATCCACTGTTGCCCTTTACTGTGGACTCGCTAAGAAATCATCTCCACTAGACCCCACAGACACAGCCTGCAGGCTGAGTCCGCCCTGCTGGTGTGCTTTGTTGGGTCCTTACCTTGGTTTTCTTGTATTTTTGTTGGAACTAGTTGCCAACATTTCAAATATCTATCTTTTCTGGCGTCCCGTGGAAGTTCAGAACATTTGGTGCCACTGGGCCTGAATTCCCATAGTGGGCTGGCTTGCTCAGAAGCTACCCCTTCAGGGTCAGTGTGCATGCCCCACCCTGGTGCTCACCTGCCCACCTTACTTCCTGCTTTCATCCTCTTCCTGTCCATCCTCTGCCAGTGCTCCCCATTACCATGTCGTTAGAATGTGTGTGGAGCCAGTCATTTAAAAATAATGTAGCCCAGGAAATCTGTAGAAATCACAGGGTAGGAGTTCTTTTTTACATGTGTTCCTTCTCCAATTTGATTTTTCTCAAACATGCAGAACATCCTTAGTGGTCTCAGTTGTGCACTATCAGAATCATCCATTAACACACACTTGGAATTATTTACATCCCAGAAAAGTCACAGTGTACATTTCTCTCCAGATTGTTGTGTCGTAGCCTTGAATTTAAAATTCTATTCAGTATCTCAGTGCTTTATAAGCATTATTCTGCTATCTAGCTTCAAATTTTGTATTGGCATAAAAACATAATTTATTGTAACCAATAGGAGCTGCCTCAGACACAGTTCATCTGGCCTCCCAAGTCAGATGCATTCTTCCCTTTCCAGGTAGTGGTGAACCAGTAAATTAGAAGGTCTAGGAACGAGTAAAGCCTAAAGATGAAATATTTCATGTGTAAATGGAACCTGGATTTATTTAAACATGTGTTTTTTAAATAGGTTTGAGTTTCCCGAACAGTTACCACTTGATGAATTTTTGCAAAAAACAGATCCGAAGGACCCTGCAAATTATATTCTTCATGCCGTCCTTGTTCACAGTGGAGATAATCATGGTGGACATTATGTGGTTTATCTAAACCCCAAAGGGGATGGCAAAGTAAGTGCTGGGCAGGGGGTGGAGTAGGATGTGATGCTCCCAACTAGGGGATTTACAGAGATGCTCAGCCTCAGCATTTTCCTGTATCTGGGTAAAGGCCTAGTTAGCACAGGATTACTTGCTAGCCTCTGATTTATCTGTATGTTCCCGTATGCATTAATTGCTAAGACTTTAAAGGTGAACGATAATTTAGTGATTATACTTTCTGTATCTCTCTGTTGGTATGGAATGTTGGGCCCCACAGAATCCCTTCACATCTAATATGAGGCACTTATTTTCCACTTAGAAATAGCAGAGTAATAATCTGTGGCTGGGTCAGGGGAGGCAGCATCAGTTGAGTGATATTCTACATGGGCCCTTGTCCACATGGTAATGCTCCATCTCTTCCTGTTTTATGTGGGTCTCACCACAGTATTCACCAAGGGGGCAGATGAGGTTCTCTGGGCCTGTGTCCGGGAGCATAGGGCCATTGAGGAGCACAGCAAAGATGGAGCCTGCCTAGCTCTTGCTAAGAGAACCCCCACAGCAGCAGACTTGCATGAAACTTTTACTGTGAGGTTGAGTTCCAAAATGTCTCAATCCATAGGGAAGAGATTGAAGAATAACTACATATGAGTTCTGACTCCTTTTTAAAGTCAGGCCCTTACTTGCTGTGATAATATGTCATAAGATGGAATAAACTGTCCCATGTAATTGTATTAATCACACCAGAAACATTTGAACTTTTCTAGCTGAGTTAGGTGCCTTCCGTATTGCTTTCTTGATTTGGTAAAAGGTTGTAGTATCCGTAGATTGAATCTTAAGTATCAAACAGGCTGAGTAGACTGTAGAAATGGCCAGTGGTTGAATATGAGCAGTTCCCCAGAACAGGGACGGAGGATGGCAGAGGGACTATTGAGTTTTCTCAGAGGGATGCCTGAGACAGAGTCTGGTTCATGACCGCACTAGACAATCTGTTCCAGGAAAACTCTGCCTGAGAGTTTGTGTGCTTTTCCAAGCCCTTTCTCTCACTGATGTCTCGTTGTCCCCTGTCCAGTGGTGTAAATTTGATGACGATGTGGTGTCCAGGTGTACGAAAGAAGAAGCAATTGAGCACAATTACGGGGGCCACGATGACGACCTCTCTGTGCGGCACTGCACCAACGCGTACATGTTGGTTTATATCAGGGAATCCAAGCTGAGTGAGTAGGGGTGTCTGTTGTGTTCCACACTGTTGTGAGCTCTGTAGTTGTACCATGAATCACTGTTGTGTCATTTTAGGCCACATTACAGTGCACCTAAGGTGTGTCTCCTATGCAACACATTTTCTTCTTATATTGCTTTAGTTGCACCATCTAGAAGCAGGATGGGTTGGGCTCGTGGGCTGCGGTGTGGACTCATGGCACTAAGTAATTTCACTTTACTAAATTGCTATAGTAATGAGGATGTAAAATTGGAGGCTTTTAAGAAGGGGAAAGTAGAACCTACCAGAAATGAACGAAGGTGCATTTGTCCTGCAGGTGAGGTGTTACAAGCTGTCACCGACCATGATATTCCTCAGCAGCTGGTGGAACGATTACAAGAAGAGAAAAGGATCGAGGCCCAGAAGCAGAAGGAGCGGCAGGAAGCCCATCAGTACATGCAAGTGCAGGTCAGCCTCAGTCTCCTGCGACCCTGTGGTGGTTGAGGCTACAGGGAGCCCTGCTGTGAGCTACACTGCTTCGGGTGCTAGCACGAACATAGACTTATTGCTGAGGGATCAGGGATTGCTCTGGGCAGCCCCTTGAGCATTTTTAACTGAGTGACTGCACAGGCCAGTTTCCTGACCACTTGGAATATACACCACTTGGAACTTCAGTTCAGGGTAAGGACTGAGATGTGAGAAATACTCAGGCCACCACAGGAGAGTATTTACCAAAAGTACAGAGGGGTTTAGAGGGGTGAAGGCCTCAATGAAAGGGTGCATGAGAAGGAAGAGTTAGCATCCAGAGGCGGAGCACAGTCCCAATGGGGTGTGTGCAGGTGGCACACCAGGCTGTGGAAAAGCCTGACATCCAGATGGAGAAGGCAGGAGAACTCCAACAGGGTGGTGAATTTCCGGATGGTCTTGGTTCATGACTCTGTTGAGATATTAGGAAACAAAGAAGCATCGTTTTAACAAGTTAGAACCAGGGAAAAGGCACCTCGTGCATCCTATCTTTATAGTATTTGGTGATCAGCACACAGATGGATTTCTAGCTAATGCTTATAAATGGGTTAAGAGTGGCTGCATGAATGTGGAGGTTTTTGTCTTCTTTAAATATATACCTTGATTTAGTTAGTTGTTTTGAAACTTTTCTCTTTGGGTCTTGTGAAGAAGGTTCCTGGAAGCAAGACTAGTTGTTTCTAGCATTTTACTATTTTAACTTTCTCTTGATGATTGCTGTCTTATTTTTTTATTTTGAATGTCAATTGTTCTGTATTTGTGCATATTTTCAGATAGTCACAGAGGACCAGTTTTGTGGCCACCAAGGCAATGATATGTACAATGAAGAAAAAGTGAAATACACTGTGTTCAAAGTATTGAAAAATTCTTCTCTTGCTGAATTTGTCCAGGACCTCTCCCAGATCATGGTGAGTGCCAGTGTCTCTGCTGATGGTTGCTTCTGATTTCCAATTTCCTCCCTTGTTCTTTATAACTGGACAAGACGGTACCTTTTGGGGTAGGTGTTGTGTTTAGTCACTGCCTGAAAGTGAGGTAAGCATTTGGAGCTCATTCCTTTCTCAGTTATGCCTGTGTCTGCCCTGTCCCCTAACGTTCAACTGAATATGCAGTGAAGGAAGTTCAGTGTGAGTCTTCTCTTTAGTAACTGCTCCCCCCTCCACTTTTTTTTTAATAAAATGGGCACTTAAGTCTTCAGATTCTGAAGTTAGTTCACTGTTGCCTAATCAGCAGTCATAAGTGTAATAATATTTTTGTGTGTAATTACAGGATGACTACTACAAAACAGGATTAAAAAATAATTTCGTTTTAATTAAATTTAAACCTCCCCTCCAGGGATTTCCACAAGATCAGATTCGATTATGGCCAATGCAAGCCAGGAGTAATGGAACCAAACGACCAGCAATGTTAGGTAACAAGGCAAATAGCAATAAAACAGTAAGTGTTATTTTTTCTCCCTCTTTTTATTTTTAAGGTTGTTCAAATACAGTTGTCTCCATTCCCCCCCCCACCCCATTGCTCATCCCAGCAATCCCCACCTCCCACCCTCGATCCTACCTTCCTTTGGGTTTGTCCATGTGTCCTTTATACATCTTCTTTGATGACCCTCACCCCTTCCCCCATTATCCTCTCCACCCTCCCCTCTGGTTACTGTTAGTTTGTTCTTTATTTCAATGTCTCTGGTTATATTTTGCTTGCTTGGTTGTTTTGTAGATTAGGTTCTACTTATAAGTGAGATCATGCGGTATTTGTCTTTCACCATCTGGTTTATTTCACGTAGCATAATGCTCTCCAGTTCTATCTATGCTGTCATGAATGGTAGGAATTCCTTTCTTTCTTTCTGCTGCATAGTGTTCCATTGTGTAAATGTACCATAGTTTTTGGATCCACTCATTTACTAATGGGCACTTAGGTTGCTTCCAACACTTGGCTATTGTAAATTGTGCTGCTATGAATATTGGGGTGCACAGGTCCTTTTGAATTGGTGTTTCAGGATTCTTAGGGTATAATCCCAGCAGTGGGATTGCCAGGTCAAAATGGAGTTCTATTTTCAGTTTTCTGAGGAAACTCCATACTGTTTTTTGCAGTGGCTACACCAGTCTTCATTACTACCCACAGTGTTCTAGGGTTACCTTTTTTCCACAACCTTACCAGCACTTGTTTGTTGATTTGTTTATGATGGACATTCTCAATGGTGTGAAGTGGTATCTCATTGTGGTTTTAATTTGCATCTCTCTGATGGCTAGCAATATTGAGCATCTTTTCATGTGTCTCTGGATCCTCTGTATGTCCATCTTGGAGAAGTGTCTGTTTAGATCCTTTGCCCATTTTTCAATTGGGTTGTTTGTCTTTCTGGAATGGAGTCATGTGAGTTCTTTATATATTTTGGAGATCAATCCCTTGTCTGAGGTATCATTTGCAAATATATTTTCCCATTGGTTGGTTCTCTGTTCATTTTTATGATGTTTTCTTTAGCTACACAGAAGCTTTTTATTTTGATGAAGTCCCATTTATTCTTTCCTTTATGTCCCTTGCTCTTGGGGACATATCGGTGAAAATATTGCTGCATGGAATATCTGAGATTTTCCTCCCTATGTTCTCCTGTAGGACTTTTATGTTGTTGCAACTTAATTATTATAAGTATTTTATCCATCTTGAGTTTATTTTTGTATGTGGTGTAAGTTGGTGGTCGAGTTTCATTTTTTTGCATGTAGCTGTCCAGATTTCCCAACACCGTTTGTTGAAGAGGCTATTTTTTACTTCATTTTATGCTTCTGTCCCCTTTGTTGAATATTAATTGACCACAGCGACTTGGGTTTATTTCTGGGCTCTCTGTTCTGTTCCATTGGTCTATGTACCTATTCTTATGTCAGTAGCAGACTAAAACCATAAGTGTTATTGACAGTCGCACATGCAGTGTACTCTGCTGTTGGCACTGCACCCTGTCTCCCTTTTCATCCAGTTAGATACATTTTCTTCAGTACATGAGTGTAGATTTTCACTCTTCACTTCACCATGCAAATTTCCTAAAATTGGCATCTCTTTTGGAACTAGATGATTGAACTCAGTGATAATGAAAACCCCTGGACAGTATTCTTGGAAACCGTTGATCCAGAACTGGCTGCTACTGGAGCAACATTACCCAAGTTTGATAAAGATGGTAAGTGCCCACCAAACACCCAACCACCTTCAGAGCAGTAGAGGTGGATTCCTGGGCCATCATTCTACTCACTCAGGGTTGAGAATTATTCCCTTGCAAAGCAATCTCCTTGATTCCAGAATTGCTCATTAAACTCCTGTCATGGCCTAGGCTTCTTGATGAAGTGAAGTTGGACCGACCATGGGTTTTAGTGTCCTGGGAAAAGAGGAGAAGGTAGCCTAATTGTTGAGTCATCATGGTTCATCTTTTATCTTGGCTCTCATGGTTTGCTGATCATATTGGTCTTTTATATATCGGACAGATTACATAGAGCAAGGGTTGCAAACATTTTCTGTCCAGGGCCAGATAGTAAATGCAGTTGATTCTTCAGTAACATGGGGTTGAACTGCACGGGGCTGCTTATACATGGATTTTTTAAAATTAGTACTGTATTTTTTCTTCCCCATGATTTTCTTAATAACCTTTTCTCTGGCTTTATTGGAAGAATGTAGTATAAGATACATATAACATAGAAAATATGTGCCAATCAATTATGTTACCTGACAGGCTTTTGGTCAACAGTAGACTATTAGTTAAGTTTTGGGGGAGTCAAAAGTTACATATGGATTTTTGACTGCATGGGAAGGTTCCCCTAATCCCTGAGTTATTAAGAGTCAACTGTATTTCATTCATTGTGGGCCACATGGTTTCTGCCTGCATTGTAGCATGAAAGTGGCCACAGATGATGTATAAGTGAACAGTCTCACTATATTCCAGTACTACTTGATTACAAAACAGGTGGGTAGGCACTAGCTGGTGTGGCTCAGTGGTTGAGAGCCTGCATGCAAACTAAATGGTTGCTGGTTTGATTCCCAGTCAGGGCACATGCCTGTGTCAGGGGTCAGCTCCCTACTTGGGGGCTTGTGAGAGGAAGTAGATTGAAGTTTCTTTCTTTCTCCTTCTCTTTCCCTTCCCCTATCCAAAAAAATAAATTCATAAAATTTTAAAAGAAAAAACTCAGATCAGTCAAAGTTTACTATAAGATTCTATTTTTAGCCCTAGCTGGTGTGGTTCAGTGGATTGAGTGCTGGACTGCACCAAGGGTCGCTGGTTTAATTCCCAGCCAGGGCACATGCTTGGGTTGTGAGCTAAGTCCCCAGTTGGGGGTGTACGAGAAGCAACCACACGTTGATGTTTTTCTCTCTTTCTCCCTCCCTTCTCCTCTCTCTAAAAAGAAATAAAATCTTTTTAAAAATTCTATTTCTATTGGTTTATAAGTGGCCACTTGTGCAGCAACGAATTACAACCATTGATGTATATTGCCATGACAACACTCAGCCATCTAGTTAGTACCAGGCCGTAAACGTAGGACACAAATTCACTGCCTCTCATCTCACCCTCACTGCATCACATGGAGTCTTCCCCAGGGCTTTGATGTTTCGAGTGGTGCTGCAGTCACAGGCCTCATTCGACACAGTAATTTTAGGTGCAGTAAGCTGACATTTCAGTGGCTTACTAAGTCCACTATTACTGATGTTTTAACAGTGTACCGAGTGCTAAGATACTAACAAAACCTGTTTTTGAACCTTGTAGATGATGTGATGTTATTTTTGAAAATGTATGATCCCAAAACACGGAGCTTGAATTACTGTGGGCACATCTACACACCGATATCCTGTAAAATCCGTAAGTTTACTGCATTCACCTTCTGAGTTGGTTCAGAATCACCAGTGAGTTGATTCTGCTAAAACCCTGGTGTGTTACAGCTTTGGATTCTTTTCCTTTCTTCTAGGTGACTTGCTCCCAGTTATGTGTGACAGAGCAGGATTTGCCCAAGATACTAGCCTTATCCTCTATGAGGTTTGGATGGTTTATTTTTCCATAATCAGCCTGTTGTTAGTGGTTTAGAGAGGGATTCCATTGCCTATTATGCTAGCCCTGAAGTTGTTATGTGTGATGCCTATAGCTAAGGTGATCTTGAGTTGAGTGTCACGTTTGTAGATTTGTGATTTTACCAAGTGAGGATCCATCAGTGATGATTCCATGTTTATGGATATTACTGTTTTCCATTAGCATTTTAACCTATTAAAATATAGGGCTGATAGAATGGAATGTAGAGAAAATACATACGGTATATGGCCATATTAAATATACAGATGTTCCATTGTGACTATTTCATGTCTTTAGGAAGTTAAACCGAATTTAACGGAGAGAATTCAGGACTATGATGTGTCTCTTGATAGAGCCCTCGAACTAATGGATGGTGATATCATAGTATTTCAGAGGTGCGTACTTTTTGAAGGATTTTATCACATTTTATACTAAGTGATAAAATGTCAGGTTTTTATCATGTGACATGTAGCAGGAAAGAAAATTGTGTCCAGACCCGGAGACCCAGTTTGTTTGAAGTTCCTTACAATGCGGACAGACATTGGCTGTCTCTGAGTTTTGGAATTAGGAGTGGTGGGCATTTTCATCATTTACTGCTTAGTGTCCTAAAAATGTCTATAGTGAGGATGATAACTGTTATCAGGGTAGCAAAAAGTCTTTATGAAATAGCAAGATTGCATTCCTTCCCTCAAAGGTACATTTCTTAGAATGCACCTACTTAGGTAATTGATTTAAACTTGCGCATAAAACCAGCAGGTCTGTGGTGTTAGTCTAAAAGCAGCCTGGGGTGGCCTAGTCCTTGGCTCTTCAAGTGTCTGAGCAGGGTGTTCCCGGCACAGGTTGTGGGCAGGCCGAGGAATGCAGTGGCCCAGAGCAGGGCCCGGCACGCTTTTATTGCAAGGGCCAGGCAGCCAGTATTTGGGGCTTAGTGACTACTGGACCCTGCTGCCTGTGCCTGAAAGTGCCACTTGCCGACTCCTGGATGGGCTATTGGCTCTGCCATGTGCCCGCTGTGTGGGCTCACCCTTCACCTGAGTCCTTCCGCCTGTCTGTAGAGGGGAGGGCACCAGTTTTTGTGTTAGATCCAGGATGGGAAGCAGCACTGTGTGTGGCTCAGAGCACACCTTCTGTACGTGATTGCCTTCCTTCATTGTCCCTGTCTTACCAAGATGGCTGGGAGGACCCCTAGCCTCCTAAAATGTGACCCTGAGCTATTGGTGCCAGTGTTGCTTGAGAGGTGAAGACCCTGGCCTGAGCTGTGATTCCATCTACAAATTGTTTTCTCTCCCCCCAGGGATGACCCTGAAAATGATAACAGTGAATTACCCACTGCAAAAGAGTATTTCAGAGACCTCTACCATCGAGTTGATGTCATTTTCTGTGATAAGACAATCCCTAATGATCCTGGATTTGTGGTCACATTGTCAAATACAATGAATTATTTTCAGGTATTTGATAAATGCTCTTCTCCTTTCTGATTCCACACCAGAAAGACCAAGTTCTTGTTAAAAATGCTAGCTGATGAGACTGATGGATTGGGTTCAGGAGAAGGGGTCAGTCCCATTTCTGAGGACATTGCTGACTGAAGGGGGTTGGTGCTAAGATCACAATGAGGCCAAAGCCGTTCTTTCCTCTGCCTCTCCTCCCACACCCACCACCACATCCACCTGCACTTTCGTCCTTTCAAAGCTTCTCTATGCTGGCACAAGTTGGTTTCAAAGGCAACAGTGGTAACAGCTCCTTTACTTCAATTAGACCATGCCAAGTGTAAAGCACTAAAAAACTAATCAGAAAATTTAAGTATCTATAGACCACACCCTTAAAGTGAAAGTCCCTTTAAAAATTATCTTCATCAGATAGGCTACTCCTGTGGTTGTAGGCTTTATTCCTGTTAGATAGTAAATTCCTGGGGTGTTTAAATTCAGGCTGCTGATACCACATTTCTTTAAAAACATGAGGTAGATAATTAATGATGAAGCATATAAGCAAGTTTCAGTTTATTCCCCCAGATGTGAATCTTTCTGATTTCTGGTCCATTCCCTTCTCTCAGGTTGCAAAGACAGTTGCACAGAGGCTCAACACGGACCCGATGTTGCTCCAGTTTTTCAAGTCTCAAGGGTAAGCCTTACAGAGACTCTCAGTGTTTGGGTATTACCACATGCTTTCCATAGTCCAGCCCAACATCTTGGAACTAACTTTAATGAGTTGGTGGCCATATCACCTGACATGGCATTTCTTGCTTAGTTTCAGATGTAGAATTGTCACCGGTCATACCTTGACCACACTACTCCAAGATATCAAACTAATTGGCAGCCTCATATAAAGACACACTTACTTTAGTTATGTCATCAATAAATACATCCCCCACACTATGTCCAGCTGGGGTCATTAGTCCAGCCAGAGTTCTCTGTGCTGTGTGACCATTGCAGAGAGCGTTCAGGTGGGGCAGCCAGAGGAACTAAGGACTTGGGAAATAGGAGCATTAGAGTTGGAACCCTGCGCCAGGTCCCAATTTCAAGAATAGGTGCAAGGGCAGTAATTTGCTTTTTTGCTCATTAACAGATATTTGTTTCAGGCAAATAAACAAGACATTTATATGCTGTTTTCTTGTGTTGTTATAGGGATGGGCCAGGTAATCCTCTTAGACATAATTATGAAGGTACTTTAAGACTTCTACAATTGTTCAAGCCTAGACAACCTAGGAAACTTTACTATCAGCAGGTATGAGTCCAAATTAATGTAACTGTGGGTAATAAAGAGAAGCCTTGGGTTTTTGTGGAAGCATATCTAAAATAAGCCTCTCTTTTCTTAATAGCTTAAGATGAAAATCACAGACTTTGAAAACAGGCGAAGTTTTAAGTGTATATGGTTAAACAGCCAATTTAGGGAAGAGGTAAGTTTCTTTAGTGGCATGAATTTTTATTTCATTGGAGCTTGTCTATGGTGTCTGCCTGCCTGGTCCTTGAAAACTAAAATGACAAACGAAAGCACAGTGAGTGAGAACATGTTAGAGGGTCTGAGGCCAGGGTTTGAGAACCTGGGTGGGTATGGCTATGAGATACACTCCCCTCCTGTTACCAGTTCTGAACCCTGGGGATTGAATAACAATGTCATCTGCCCAAATTCTCCAGGAACTCCTTGTTACTGGTTTGCACATCTCAAGTCATTGCACTGCTGCTTGGCCCAGGGCAGTATTTTCTCAAACCATTTCAGGCCTCAGTGAGTGCAGCAGCCGGCTGGCTTCCAAGTGGCATGGACACTGGCTGTGCTGGGCATTCACTCACCTTGGACGTTAGCAGCACAGGCTGCTGCAGTGCCTCAGGCTTTCTGGGCACAGAAGAAAGGACATGCCCAGCCACACGTTAGCTGGTGGTTCTAGAAAGTCTGTTCTGCTTGGATCCCGAGTCTCTTTACCTTTCTTGCTCTGCCCATTTTGAGAGAGAATTTCAGCCACTTACCACAGACATTCAATCCTGTGTGGAGTTGAGGCTGACATTAAAAAGCCCACCTGTGGCCATGGTCCAGATCGATTGGCCTTGGCACTGTGCTGGGAACTGGAAAGGCTTATAGATGGTCTTTCAGGGGCATCATTTCCTGAGAAGCTGTCCTGGAAATGGAAACTTTGCATTAAAGTGAGGCGGCATTTCTCTGTTTTGTTTTGTTTCATTCTTTTTTATTGAATGTATTGGGGTGACATTGTTTAATAAAATAGTGTAGGTTTCAGGTGTACAGAAAGTGCCACCATACCTTAACGTCCCCTCAGTACTTCTTGGGTCCCAGGTTTGGGCAGATCATCTGGGTGAAGTCATACTTTGGGCAGTCCTGCCGAGAATGGAAATGAGGAAGTGCTGGGGAGCTAGAGACAGCTGAGGATTCCTATTGCTCTTTTTTCTGTCTTTGAGCAAAATTGGTTTGCTATAGCAGACCTGTTGTGCTTTCTTTAAAGCATTTTTTTCACCTTGTCATTTCTTAGGAAATAACACTATATCCAGACAAGCACGGGTGTGTCCGGGACCTGTTAGAAGAATGTAAAAAGGCCGTAGAGCTTGGGGAGAAGACATCAGGGAAACTTAGGCAAGTATTTCCTGGAGCCTAAGGTGGGCGGGAGGAGCGGTAGTACCAGCCCCACCTCTGCAGTTGTGTTAGGGGAACTTGAACACTGCCAGAAGCCTTGTGCATTGTGGCCAGACTTATCGCTTAGCCTGTCTTTTGCAGCAGTTTTAAAATATTTCACAGTTAATCCATTTTTCCTCCTTTCTTCACAGTCCCTTGAATATCACCTATAGTACCTATAGTAAAAATGTGTAATTCAGGTGAATAGGCAAGCAGAGGAATGATGTGATTTGAATAGAGTGATAACTGAAACTGGAAAATGCTGTGATGGTGTTTGAGAAATTGGGCCACTGCTGATGCATGTAGCCAACATTCAGGCCGTAGGAAGGAGGAGCAGATGAAGAGCAGTTTTTATTTCAGAGAGGTGGATGCTTTTCTTAGCATGTCACTGTATTCAGGTGTGGGACAAAAGAGCCCTCATGGCCATTGGCTCCCAGAATGTTTTCTCTCTAATATCATTACCAGAAAGAGATCTTTATTCTCTAAGGGTAAGTGAGAAAAATAACACAAGTTCTGCCTAGTGTGGGACTCCTGGAGGGAAGATCCACACAGTTCCAGGAGACCCGCTTCACTGAGTCTTGCAGGTCTGGATGGGAGGGTGGAGGGTCCCCTCACTCCACTGAGCCACATGCTTGGAGGGTCCACCTGACCAGTGTTGTGTCTGCTCCCTTGAATGCCTGCTTTTGACATTTCAGACCTTTTAAAAAGAAAGAAGACAAGCATCTCATGATAGCTTTGATAAGAAAACTATTTTGTCAGTCTTTTTTTTTCACATGAATTTATTTTTTACCCCTAAACTGTTTTATACAGGCTGCTAAAAATTGTAAGATACAAAATTATTGGTGTGCACCAAGAAGATGAACTATTAGAATGTTTATCACCTGCGACGAGTAGAACATTTCGAATAGAGGTAACCATCCCTTTCTTGGCACTAGGGAGAGTTCTGCGCTCTTGGTGGTTAGGGCAGCTGTCACTCACTTGCTCAATTGTCTTACTGAGATGAACTATGCATGACGTGAAATTCATCATTTTAAGTATATGGTTCAGTGGCATAAAGTATATTCACACTGTTGAGCACTGGTCACCTCCATCCAGGGCCCTAGTCTTCATCTTTTCCGCCAAACACTCCACACTCATTAACATTTTTTCTCCCCAGCCCACCGTTCTAGTTTCACAGAATGTGACTACACTAGGCACCTCCTATAAACAGAATCAGGGGGTATATGTAGTTATTGTAAGTGTTGGCCACTGGGTAGCTCTGTTCCAGAACTGGGTGTCAGTTGGGTTCTGGAGTGGCTGGAATTTCCACAGTAACTGGAAGAATGCATTACTCGCTGTCTTAAAACTTAGCTGTAATCTGGCTCTGACCCCTTACCATTTTAACAGGAGACAAACATGGCATTTTGATCAAAATACGACCTAACTTCATCATTGAAGGAGCAGTTGGAAGTAAAATATGGCCTTTTGTCTGTATTGAGTGCTTTACTGACCTGTGTTTAAAATGTGTCCCCAGGAAATACCTTTGGACCAGGTAGACATTGATAAGGAAAATGAGATGCTGATCACAGTGGCACATTTCCACAAAGAAGTGTTTGGGACGTTTGGCATCCCGTTTTTGCTGAGGATACACCAGGTGAGGTTTTGTGGGTAACACGTTGAAAGGCACCCAGAACTTGAAGGCTCACACCCTTTTTGGATTAGTGTTGCTACAGCTGGTTTCCAGCCTTGTGGGCAGAAAGTGGGTTTTGATGGTGTCCCCATGGGTCAGGAGCATCTGCCTGAAAGTGGCACAGATGTGTGAGTACTCCTGTCCTCTCCTGTTCATAGGGCGAGCATTTCAGAGAAGTCATGAAGCGCATTCAGAATCTGCTAGACATCCAGGAGAAGGAGTTTGAAGAGGTATGCACTTCCTGGACCCTGGGGTCATTCAGTGGGCAGCATTCTGGACTCTGGACTAGAAGGGCAGCCTAGACTTTGCCAGAGGTGAGTTTTGCTGACATCTAGAACTGATGGAGGAGTTTTTGTTTGTCTCTTAGTTTAAATTTGCCATTGTGGTGATGGGCCTGCACCGGTATATAAATGAAGATGAGTACGAAGTGAACTTGAAAGACTTTGAACCTCAGCCTGGTAAGAGCCCTCCCCTGGTTTTCCTTTTGAGTGGGGTTGGATCTAAGCAGCAAGTGGTAGGAGCTGGAGGTGGAGAGCCCTGGGCCTAGTGCCACCTCTTCCATTTCCAAATGGGGTGGCCTGGGCTTCCTCGCCTCATCTGTAAGAGGAAGAACAGCAGTAACCCATGAATCCTCCAAAGGATTAGAGCATTGCTCGGTGGGTGAAGGAAGTGAGACCTGAGGCCAAGGTGTGAGTGGCCCTGTGAGATTGGGAGGCTCTGATGATGCTGCATATGGAAGCCACTGAGACGTTTGGTCAGAGTGTGGGTGCCCTTGGTTTCATGTGCGCATGCAGCCCAGAGCTCCTGCCTCATGGTGACCCCAAACCAGGGCATTGGCCCTGCTCACGTTGTTGGACACTCCTGGCATGGGGGTCCTGGCACTTGCTCTGTGGTCTTATTGCCCCTTTCTCCCCACCAGGTAACATGTTTTACCTTCGGCCATGGCTAGGGCTCGACCACTTCAACAAAGCCCCAAAGAGAAGTCACTACACCTACCTTGAAAAGGCCATTAAAATCCATAACTGACTTCCTCACCCTGTGTGTGCAGGGACCGCGTGTGGGTGTGTGCCCCTTAACAGCGAGAACTCTGGTACATGTGCTCTCTGGCCGAAGTCTTAAGCAAGAGGATTTGCTGCTGGTGTTAATTTTATTTTGTTGAGGCTGTTCAGTTTGGCTTCTCTGTATCTATTGACTGCCCTTTTTGAGCAAAATGAAGGTGTTTTTATAAAGCTTGGATGCCAATGAGAGTTATTTTATGGTAACCACAATGCAAGGTAACTGTCAGCATAATGGGGAGAATAGGTTATGAGGTGGGCCAAAAGGTAAAACCTAGAACCGGTGGAGGGACTTTTTTTTGTGGTATTTCCACCCCTTCAGTATTGAAAAGGTTTAAAGGGTGGGGACCTGGGTGGCACTGGCAAAAGGTCTCTAATCTCTGTCTAGTTGGCATAAGCTGCCTGGCTGCCTTCTGGGGGTCCAGGCCACCCCCCTGTCTGCAGCTAGTCAGTCTTACATTTAGGCTCGTCCAACGTTCCTTCCTTCAGTTACACCTTCAGTGCCCTTTTGTGCGTCTGTAAAGGCAAAACAGAGAAACTCACAAGCTAATAAATAGCACTCTTTCCTTCACTGCGTGTCCTGTCGCCCCTTCCTCAGTTCTCTCCCCAGGTGCCTGGGTCGTTATAGTAAACCCTTCTCATTTCCGTCAGCCACTACTGTTCTGCAACCCATTTGCAACGCGGATGCACTGAATACAGTCTGACAGGCATTCTGGGGGCTTTTTACTAAATGGGAAAGCACTGTTAAATACGATTAAGGTGTACTGTGCTGCCTGTCAGCAAGCTTCATGATCTCAAGAGTTCACACGAGCAGTTGAAAAAATTATAAATAGAACTTTTCTTAAAATGGAACAGATGGAACAAAAAAAGAGCCTTTTAGCAAAGAGGGCATGCTCACTCGTGGTTAGTAAGCTGTTGACTTTGTAAAAAAGTTAAAAATAAAAAAAAAGAAAAATGAAATTGTATATTTAATGAATGAACATGTACAATTTACCGCTTGGAGGAGGTGACTTTCTGTTGGGTGACTCTACAAGTGACTCTCACTGATGTTGATATTCATCGTGTGTGGTTTCATTTCAGTCCCGACTTTTTTTTTTGGAGCTAATGCCAGCTGCGTGTCTAGTTTTGAGTGCAGTAAAATAGAGTCAGCAAATCACACTTAGTTTTCGTCCTTCCCCAGTATTTTTGTTTGTTTCTGTAGCAGCAGTGGACACCAACTCTTCCTGTATATTGCCTTTTTGCTGGAAAATGTTGTATGTTGAATAAAATTTTCTATAAAAAATTATAATCCAGTGAGTGATGTGGAAGTTGAGGAAGATGTCTGCCTTCCCCAGAAAGAGGCTTGGGGAACCTTTTCATTTAAAACAAGAATTTACTGAGATATTTCCCGCCCCCCTCCAGTTTAAGTATTGCTGGTGTACAGTTCTGGCTTCTTTGTTTTCCCCTTTTTGGTCGCCTCTGACTAGTCTCATTTAAGCTTAAGAAATAAAAGGTTTCCAGGTGGGAACCATGTGCAAATAAGATGACTGGAAATATTATTGGAATGGTGGAAGGCGCAGTGAGGCCCGGGGCGTTGGTGTTCGAGTAGCCGAGGCCCTCCACATGGCTCTCACCCAGTGGCCACGTGCACTGTTTGTGGTCTCTGGGCTGGTCTGTTCCCCGGGGTGGCACCTTCCAGTTCCCACTGTGACGGGTGTGCTTTCATACCCCTAGAGCTGCCCTCGGCCAGGGCATGGACAGCACCGCCCCTCTGTCTTTCAGTGAACGTGCTGATTTTTGTTTGTTTTAGGTTTTGGCCGAAGGTAGGTTATTGTCTTGGGGAACTGAGAATTCTCCCTGAAGTTACTGAATGGCTTCATACAAGATTTTTTTGCAGCATGGATGATACATGCTGCGTTTTCTTTTCCATCCACTCCCAGTTTTGGTATTAAGGGTCTGAGTTCACAAAACTGATTTTGGGGGACAGGGATGGAGACACACTGCCCTTGAAACCGCTCGCTCTGAACCCCCAAGAATGTTCCACCCTCTCCCTCTAGGATGCTGATGTCTGGTGTTGGTGATGCGACTCCTGGAATGATGGGTCCCTGGCAGCCATGGTGCAGGCAGTGGGAAGGAGAGGGGCCCACCCCAGGTGTACTTCAAAGCAGTGTGCTGGCAGACCCGGTGGTCACCTATTTAAAACTGAGAGTGCATACTAGGTAGGGAACAGGGCTTGGCCATTGTCATCTGTTTAACAGCCTTTCCCAGAGCACCTTCCCAAGGTCCCTGCTAGTGCCGTGGGGGACCACTTTAGAAATGAATTGCTGGCCTTTCTCCAAGAGCTTCAAGTCAGCTGTGCTGGGGACCACCACATCCAGCAAGAAGTGAGGCACATGTCTCCAGGATTGTTTGTGAGCATCACCATGTTAATATGTTTTAAATGCCAGCGTCTCCATGTACCACTCTGGGAAGTGGGGCTTTGGTGTACAATGAAGCTCGAGGGACAAGCAGCAGCAGCAGAGGCCCCTGTTGAGGCAGGCCCCTGGGGCACAGTCCTGTAGCTGCAGTGAGAGCAAGCCGTGTCCAGAAACCATCTCTTCTGAGCAAAGCCTTAACCGGGGCTTTCCTCACGCATGCCTGTTCGCACCTTGTTTTGAGTCAGATGTTTGTGGCTTGGGTGCTGTGTGGGAATGCAGCTCACTGAAGCCTCTCGTTTGGAACCACCTGTGTACTTGAGAGTGCGGCACGCTTTTGGCTCTTTGGCCTAGTGGTGGGCTTGGTGGGACTGCAGCTTTGTTGCTGGAGCCAAATGAGGCTGCGGACCACACTTGAGTGGGCGAGGTTGAGCTGGTAGTACTTCACTGGTAAAAACAGGCTAAACTCACAAAGTTCGCTGAGCCCTGGACTAGAGTGGAAGGGAGCACTTTCAGGGCATTCCTGGTTGGCTGGTGCCATCTGATTAGCGTGATCCACCAGCAAGAAGGTGCATCAGAATGACTGTGGAGGTCGGCCTTGCCCCCACTGCAAATACAAACTGTCTAGTTAAAACCATGTGTCCCATGTCTGTTTTGTGGCAACTCTGTTGTTTCTGGCCAGTGCTGGCAATTTTGTTGTGGCCTGGTGCTCTCCAGTATTATCTGCCAAGGTGACTTTTCATTTGCTCTTCTCCGCGCAGTAGCGATAAGCCACACGTGGCTATCTAGTACACAAAATGCCGCTGATGGGGGAGGCTGTGAACTTGAAGTTGCCATGTGTGGCTACCATTAACCATATTGGATAAAGCCATACTAACCAGATTTTCTTCACATTGTGGTTTGTTACATAAAACCCTAGCGTACTGGGGCTCTGGTGTTCTGACTTTTTTATTAAACCTTAAGGCAGGGGTGTCAAGCTCATTCTCACCAGGGGCCACATCAGCCTCACAGTTGCCTTCAAAGGGCTGAGTGTAATTTTAGCTGTATAAGTGTAGCTACCCCTTAACTGTTAAAGGAGTATAAATTACATTCGGTCCTTTGGAGGCACTTATGTGGCATCCCATGAAAATGAGTTTGATACTCCGTCTTTAAGGGATGTTTTTGTTTTGGATGGGAATGAAATTAATTAAAGGCCAGTTCCCCACTTCCCTATATGTTGCCACCTACTGGGGTTGGAGCTCGTGCTGACCTGCCCTTCCTGTCCTGGGGCCTTGAATAGAATGGGCAGAGCGCAGTTGTGTCTGTGCAAGTTCCAGAGGAAGGGCACACGTCTGTCAAACCTCCAAAGGGGCACTGACCCACACATGAGGCAAGAAATACCAGTGGGTGGATCCAGAGTGGGCATAGGGGTATTGATCGACCCCCAAGATTCTACTAAATTTGTTGTGGACTGCTCTGCCTGGTTTCAGGAATTGTAACTCTACCCCCCATGGCTAAGGATGAATGAGCGATCTCTGGAACGTGAAGCACAGGAGACAAAGCTTGTCTCTGGTAGCAAATGCTGCCTCAGTTTCCTCTCCCTGCCCCCAAAGCATGGTCAGAAGTCAATGACGGGTAAGACCCCTCACAGTGAGGGACAACCTAAGACAGACTGGATCACTTGGGAGGCGTTCATGGAAGGACAGGGGGCGGGGGGCTGAAACAAAGAGCAAGCAATGGACCCTTGGCCCCTGGCCGTGACATATCTGGAGTCCCCATGTCCTCGGGGAGAAGCGCTTCCTGGCTGTAATCCACTTAAGCCTGAAAACCTGTGTGGGGAGGCGGTGCAGCTCCTTGCCTGGCCAGAGTGCAATGGGGGTAGGGGTCTGGCATCACAAAGAATTCCTGAAAAACCTGTGAGACCTCCTTTCCTAAGAGTGTTTTCATTCATATGTTAAGGGACGGAGCAGGAAACCCTAAAGTGTCCGCAAATCTCCCTTCCTGACAGACTCGGACTCAGACTAAGCCCTCAAATTTCTTTGAAATGTTATCTACTGTTTGATCCTTGCTGCCCTGTATTCCTGTGTATTACAACTCAATAAAAGCCCCTGGAGGAAGGGGCTCAAGGCCTTTTTTCCCCCCGGAGAAACTAGCCACCTCCTGCCCTTTTTTTCCTCTGAGAAACTGGCCACCTCTCCTCCTCAAGCAGATCATGTCTTGGGTAGTGTTTACTCTCATCCATGGTGGACTGGGGGGACTTGTGGGAAAAGTCGCCCTCACATTTGATATACGTTTAAAAATGTCACGATATAGCCCAGGCTGGTGTGGCTCAGTGGATTGAGTGCCAGTCTGTGAACTAAAGGGTTGATGGTTCAGTTCCTTGTTATGGTACATGCCTGGGTTATGAGCCAGGTCCCCAATAGAGGACGTGTGAGAGAACCACACATTGATGTTTCTCTCCCTGTCTTCCTTCTCTTTCTAAAAATAATTTCTTTGAAGATATCCCAGTATAATGTTGGAGAGAAAAACCTCCACCCTGAGCCCTGTGAAGCCTAACTCAGAGTGCTGTTCGCCTGTCCCCTTTCCCACCAGTCAGGAGTGGGTGCTCTCAGTCTTTCTAATTCCCTTATAGAAACTTGGCATTGCAGTGGGGGTAGGGGTGGCAGTGTTGACCTGGGAGACCAGTGCCATAGCGTCCTGTGTGTTCTTCTGATAGGGAGGAAGGGACATGTCCTGTCTTGGGTCTGGCCACAAGTCAGTGGTCCTCAAACAACTAGCCACAGAGCATGCCGCAACTCGGTTCTCAGTGAGGCATCGAGACCACCCAAAGGGACCAGGACATGGATTTGGAGGCTCAGCAATCTGGCTGGGCTCTTGGGGCTTGCTAAGTGCAAGAGGTGACCTTGAAACAACCACCCTGATGTCCCACTACTGTACCATCCACTGTGCAGGCGCCTCAGCTGGCCTTCACTGTGGAAGGAGGGCTGCTGTCCCCTTTTCAAATGGGGGCTGCAGGAGCCCAAGGCAAGGCACTATCTCCCTCTGAGCCCTGGGTCCTGCACAGGCCACCCTGGCATCTCCCAATTGATACAGAGAAAAACCTTAGGCACACAGAAGCCAGGTCAGCCTATAGGAAAAGGTGTGTACAAGGAGAAAGGCCACAGCCCCATGTGCCTAAGCTGGTTCTACACTGAGGCCTTGGGACAGAATAACTTAGGCTGCACTGGGACCAGGCCTCAGACAGAGAAAGACTGAGAAACAAATGGTCCAGGCTGGTGTAGCCCAGTGGACTGAGCGTGTGCCTGCAAACCCAGGGGTCGCCGGTTTGATTCCCAGTCCGGTCACGTTCCTGGGTTGCCGGCCAGGTCCTCAGTTTGGGGTGTGTGAGAGGCAACCAAACATTGTTTCTCTTCCTCTCCTCTTTCCCTCTCTCTAAAAATAAAATCTTAAAAAAAAAACAAAAAAAAAACGGAAACGGTGATTCAGTTCTAGTTGTGCAAGGCGATCAGTAAGGCTGCCCTTGGATGATGGGGACTTGCGACGGGGACTGATGGGCACGAGGACAGGCGTTGTTCAGTCTGATGGCTGCCGAACTGGATTTCTGTGCAGCTGGACCTTCAGAGTGCAAAGAAGCTGAAAACCTGGATTTTCAGCGACTTTCCTCATTTTTACAAGTTGACAAATGACATTTTCTTAACACTAAGCATTCTAAATGAGAAAGGCTTGGCCCTTGGTTCACAGAAGGGTGAACCTGGTTGAAGGTGCAGTGGCGGTTGAGCCAGGCCAGTGATGGAGGGCTCGGGACACCACCAGCATCCCAGCTGGCAGAATGCTGAAGGAAATTGCTGTCGTGGGACTAAATGTTCGGGTCTCTGGACTGTCTGGGGATCCTCATCAAAACCAGCAAGTTTCCTGGTGAGCATGGGATCAGAACACTGGCCCTGAGTCAAGCTCTTTGGATGTATCTGGTTCCAGACCTAGGCCGGCCTTGACCTCTCCCGCAAAGCCAGGCCTCCTTGTGATTGTCACCTGCAAAGCCTGGGCACCTCAGCAGAGGGGTGGACTTCCTTCACAAACAACAGTTGGCTGAGTCCCAAATCAAGACTTATTCCTCTGGGTAGTGGTGGCCTTTGGGCCTGTCCTGGCTTCTGTGACTTTCTCTTTCAGTATTAACCCTCACTCTCTGGGACGGTGTGGTCTCACTTTTGAAAGAGAATGTGGCCACCTGTCTGGTTGACCTGAGGCCTTCCTCTCTCCCTGGTTCACTTGGCAGCACTCGGTCGTGATTTATTACCAGTAGAACTGGGTGCCCAGCTTGTCAGACATTTCACCTTCTGTATAGCCCTATCATCTTGTTACAAGGGGTCTCTGTCTGGATGTGAAAATCAGGATGCAGTCCCACAGATAGTATCTACTTGGAAATTGGTTCTACACCTGGGGGTGCAGGAGATGGCAAAGTGCAGCTGCCCGGGCATCTCTGTGGGGCTGACATTCAGACATGGAGACATCTGTCATCACTCCCTTAGCTGTGCCACACAGGACTTGCCAGCTCTGATAGCACCTTCACAGCAGGTGTGGTCATAGTAGCTCTCCCCCCACCTGGTTCAACTTCCAGGAACCTCTCTGTTCGCCGAAGATGGCTTGAGAAAAGGCCACTATGGTGCTTCAATGCCTGCAGGACTTCAGCTGTACACACAACAGACACACACATTTTCCTGCCACTATAGCTTTTCTCGCTGCTGCATTCATTTTGGGTAGACAGGCTGAGTTTCCAGCTGCCACTGGTCTGGTTGCTGGACCTGGACAAGTCACCTCTGGAATCTGGCGTGCGTATATGCAGAATGGGGAGCACTGCTCTCTGGGGGCAGCGGTGAGCATTGCAGCCAACCACTCGACACACTCGAATGAATGAAGTGACTGTCACAAGCCCCTCCTGTTACTCTTCTGACCCTTAATTCTCTCTCTTCCCTTCTCCCTTCTCTATTTAATTGAAAAGATGGGTGAGAATATTTTTTATGGGTGAGGGGAAAGGAGAGAAACATCAATGTGTGGTTGTCTCTCACGCACCCCCCACTGGGGACCTGGCCTACAACCCAGGCATGTGCGTTGACTGGTAAATCAAACAGGCAACCCTTTGGTTTGCAGGGCAGTGCTCAATCCAAGGAGCCACACCAGCCAGGGCAAAAAGAAAAAAAAAGGGGGGGGGGTGAGATCATAATTTTTAATATTTTGTGAAAGAAAAAGTGCCATAGCTGAACCATAGTTGAGTCCTGGGTATCCTTTAGCCCATACCGCCCCCTGACCTCATACCCAAGCAGACTGCATTTACCCACAAGGGATCTTGTTCCTAAGCCAACTTGGGACCTTTTAAACTTCTAAGCTTTTGCCAAGTCCTTGTGTAGCTGTGAAGGAATTTTAAGGATTGAATCTCTTCTTGGGGGTTGGAGGTAGAGATTTGGAAGATTTACTCCCCACTCTGTGCTCCCATAAATCCACTCATCTCCTGGGGCACCAGGCCCTGGGAAGTCTCAGAAACCCAGGAGTGAGTGATGACATTGCTGGGCCAGGCTAGGACTAGGTGAGAGAAGGCTGGGGGGTACTCGAGGTGGCAAAGGGAGGGGTCTGGATGCTGGGGGTGGGGGATGGACCCAGCCAGCTCACAGTGACTTCAGGTGACCCATGTGAAAAGTCTGGACTCAGTTGTGAGGTTGGCGAGTTCTAGGCAGGTGTCTGGCATAATCACAGCTGAAGTTCCTAATTCTTGCCCATGTTAATTGGGTGTACTCTGTGGTTGCTGGTGACAACCACGGAAAGCAGGCAAGACTTGGGACAGAGAGGCCTGTCAGGGGCTCTTGTCTCCTTCAAGGAAGGCCAGTATGGGGTGTCAGGGAGGGAAGTTATTCTTCAGAAAACAGGACGGGACTGAAGGGTGGTGCTGAGGGACTGTAGGAGTCTGGAATGGAGGGGTTGCAGGGTGGTGGCCATGCCATTCCCAGCCACCAGGGCCACATGAGGAGGTGGGAAGAGCGAGTCACCTTGAGATCTGTTGGGTTTGCTGGACCCCTAGGCACCCAGGGGGAGGACTGTGAGATGCAGGTAAGGATGGAAGCCTCAGGGGTAATGTGAGAAGAGACCTAAGACAGAACCATGTGGGGCATCAGCAGGACAGGGCGTCCTGGCGGGACACACAGCTGGTGGCTGGGAACTGCTGCTGTACAGCTAGACAGCAGAGTGAGGGTCACGGGCTGCAGAGAGGCCAGGCAGGTAGGCAAGGGGGAAAGTGTCTGGTGGATGTTGGGTTTAGCAACAGGAAGTCACTGGTCCAAGCGGGCAGGGCAGGGCAGGGGGTCAGGTGTGGGCCTGGTGTGGGTCCCAGAGTGAGTGGCAGGTAGGGATGTAGCAAGAGATGATGGGAAGTTCAGGCCCCCCTGGCTGGAGTTGCAGAGAGACAAAGGGTTGTAAAAGCATGAGCTGATCAGTAAATTGTGGTTTTTAAGGAGTCAGAAGAGCATGGGCCCTGAGAAGAAAGGGCTGGGCATAATTCACTCACCTGGGGCTGAGCACCTACTCTGTAGACAAGGGTCTGAGAGCCAACCTGGCCTTGCATGGGGTCAGGAGAGCAGGGGAAGGACAGGTGGTCACTGCATCAGTTCTGTCACACTCCCAGGAAAGGGCTTGCAGTGGGGGAAGCCCAGCAGGACAGACATGGGCAGGTAAATGTCTCTTAATACATATTTATTTCACGGAGGTTCACAGGCGACGGTAGCGGAAGAGTTCGTGCCCGCACACTGGGCATGTATGCTTCACATCCATGAAGCTCTCCATGCAGAAAGGGAGGAGACAGCAACCCAGGACACACCTGCAGCCTCGGGAGCAGTGGGCCATGGGCTGGGGTCCAGGCCGGGGGGCTCTGGGCTCACCCCAGGGCCAAGTCAAGGCTGCACACCCCCATCCTTGGTCCTGCCCAGCCCCCTCTGCTCGGCCTCCTCCCCACCCTGGAGGCCCTCCCCAGCCAATGGTCAGGGCCCCCACTCACCCAAACATAAAGAGGCCTGTACACAGCAGCAAGGTGAGGGCCCCTGGGACTGGGGTGGTCACTGTGAGGATGTAGTTCCCACAGTAGGGACAAGGGTACTGCATCGGCATGACAGACGCCATCCTAGGCACACCGCTGAATGCAGCTGGGGGGCCGGGAGGGAAAAAGCTCAGACCTCCCACCCATTCCTCCCTCTCCTCAGTGTCCACCACTGGGCAGCCCCTGGCATGGTCTGCACCCTTCTGTAGGGGCCCCGAACTCCCCTGAGCAGCTCAGGCTGTCCACATGGAGCCCCTGCAGCCCCTTCCCTACCAACCACCAGCCCTCAGGGTCCAGGGGTATGTATGCCTCAGTCAAGACACCTTGCCTTCCATGGCTAAGGGGTCTAGGGAGTTGGGAAGCAGCTCTGGGTGTGAACTCAAACTTCAGTGTGTTCCCCAGGACATCCTGCCCATACATCCCCTTTAGGATTTTGTTTAACTGAGCCAGAGCTGGTTTCTAACCTGGCAGTTCAAAGCTCTGACACTCTTGGTAAAACAGTTGCATTAAAAACAAAAATAAGGAAATGGTATGGGTACTCCCAGGGTGGTGCACCAGTGTTAGAGGGATGCCCCCAACTCTCCCCTGGGCCTTTGCAGAGGACCTGCATGGTGAAAAAGGAAGCAGCAGCTGAAGCAAAAGGATGGCAGTTAAGAGGGCAAGGTTAAGTGGGGGAAAAAAATAAGGAAATAAGATTCTTTCTTGAAATTTTGCCTTTGCTTTAGATTTTGTCTTTGTTTCTGTTTTTGGAAAGGAGCAACTTAGATTTTACTTTAGACTGATTAGAATTGTTTGGCTAAAGTCTAGTGAACGAGGCAAGATTTATGAAGCCTTCATGAACTGGTCAATCTACAGAATGCTAATCACTTATATTTAAGTTGAAAAAAATATATGGCTTTGGTAATAAAATGTGTAAATTATGGCAATATGTTTCGAAGAAAATAGAATTAAAAGTAAATTGTTCTAATTCCTGAATGCATAAAAATGGCAAACAAAAAGGGACTAGGAAAATTTGCAGATAGTCTAGTAAGTTGAAGGATTGTCTAGAAGGAAGAGGCAAAAAGACAAGCAAGTGAGACATGCTTTACATATATAGTCCTTATATGTGTGATCTGTATGTGTATTATTTGTGGTGTGTTTTCTGCCTTTCAGTGGCATAATTAGGGTGAAATATTTTATTGACCTAAAGAAAGTGAACACTTAAATTGCACAGGATCCTGCCGTCTGGAGAAATTATTTGATGTGAAAACCAGTTTTAAGTTTACTGTCTTTTAAAGTTATTAGTATAAAAAAATGTTGTTTTCCAAAAAGTTTGTTATTAAACTTTGGTTAAGTATGTTTGGCAGCCCTCCAAAATTCAAATTTTAAGAGACTTTTTAATTAAGAAGTGACTTTAGGTTATTCCAGTGGGACCCTGGGATACCTCAACTATTTGTCCTCCCTCTTTTCTAAAAGAGAAGTTTTATAAATAATTAGACCTATTTAATATGCTTAAAATACATGGTAAGCTTTGTCAAATAAAGAAATATTAATTGCCAAAAAACCCCACAAAAAACAATGACAAATTACTCTACCTCCAACAAAACCCCAAAAGCCTTCTTGGTGCTATTCTTCTCATCTCTTCCTCTTGAATTTGTAAAAAGTGCGCTTAGCTCCTTTAAACATTGCAGGCGTGTCTACAATCTTGGGTGTGCAGGGAAGGATGGGCTTTGAATTTACTGGCCGAATTTATTGTCAGGAAAAGCCAGTTCCAGGGAGCTCTGGTGTTCTGGACTGAGGGCTCAGGGCCTCGCCTGGGTGGACTGTTCAGAGTCCTGAGGAGGGCTTATGACCAGGACAGACTTTGGCTTCTTCTGGGGTCCAGGGTGAGGGGGTGCTGGGTTGGAGAGCTGGAGCCAGGTAGGTGGGGGTGTAGACTCCTTGGTTTGGCACAGAGCTCAGGGAAGAAGTATCTATGGCTAGAAGGGGGTGACCCACACGTGCTAATGGCCTTTGCAACAGCAAAGATGCCATCTTCACTCTGCTCAAGGGAAATTTACAGCCCAGCCCAGCAGCCCTCAGAGGGTTCCCAAGTTCCCTGGCCAGTTCCTGAGTTCCTTGCTTAACACTCCAAAAGCCCAGGCCCCACTCTGGGGGCCTGCATCCCCCTCACCTGTGGTTGGAGTTTGGGTCTTTGCAGGATAGGGAAGAGGATTTTACTCCTTAGCATCTACTGTGTACCAGCCCCCCGCACCAGTGATTTCACATTGGAGAGAAGTGCTCGTGGCCATGGGCGAATGGCCACTGGTGGCTGTGGGGCAGGGAAGGAGGGCTTCCCAGAGGAGATGCTGTTTGGGCAGAGTCTTGGTGAGTGGTGGTCAGGGCAAGGAGGGAAGGCAGGCAGGATTGCTCACCTGTGCGAACAACTTGGGGGCCTTGGTAGTACATTGGAGGAGGTGGTTGAATTCTTGGAGGTTGAGGAGGAGGTGGTGGAGGAGGAACAGGAGGAGGCGGTGAAGGAGGAGGTGGCGGTGGTGGTGACGGCTCTTTGGGAGAGAGAAAGGAAACACACTCTCAGATATGACAGCCCTCTATGTGCCAGGCACTGAGCGATAATTTGGTCAGCGTGAGGGAGAAACCCATTTTACAGGAGAGAAAGCTGAGGCCTAGAAGAATGACTCAAGTTGCCCGCAGGTGGAAGACTGTTTGAACAAGGGATTCTGGGATCCTGGATCCCCAGAGTGTGGTCTGAGAGAGGGGAGGATGGGAGCCCCACAATTTGAACGACATTGTGGGCGATGGCTGGAGATCCTTGTGTGTTTCATTGGGAACCACATGGGCACTTTGCATGGGAACCTGACCCTCCCAGGAAAGGAGCTTCATGACTTGAGGGGGCCCCTGGGTTCTCCCCACCCAATGCCTTTCCTCAGAGAAGGAGCAACCAGGAAACAGGAACCCCTGCCCCTGCTTTTCACCACATGGTCTAGACCCTTTGGGACAGGAAAAGGTTTCTTACCCACCCTGTTCCCCCAGCAGCCCCACTAGGGCCTGGTTTTTGTACCCATTCTACAGATGACAAAACAAATTCAGAAGTTAAGTATGTAGCCCAGGGCTGTCGGCTAGAAAGTTGTGATGTCTCACTGAGTTAGCAACTGCCCAGACCTATGACAGTCATATCAATTCACCCTCTTGCTTATTTTCAGATGAGAAAACAGACTTGAAGGGGCTTGGTGGCTCACTCAGGCTGAGATCAATGTAGCCAGAAGCCCATCCCACCCCACCCATTAGTCCAGGTGTCTCTGGGGCAGAGGAGGGCAGGTCATACCAGACATAGGGTGGTCATTAGCTTTGTTCCACGATTTTCCTGTGACACTTTAAGAGAGGGCATGTGGTCTTCACCCTGTCCCCATTGGGTCACATGGTCCCAGGTTTGTGGGGACAGCAGGACTTAGGGGAGGTGAGGACTAGAACCAGCCCCCAGCTCAGCAAAGGGACACACAGTCTTCTCTCCTGCTTCCCGAGGGCCCCTCCTTCAGCCTGTCGCTGGCCTCTCCCAGCCCCGAAACCCAAGGGGCTCCCTCACCCTGGGGAGGATTCCATCTTGGCACACTGGGGGTCCTTTGTTCCAGCAATGGCGTCGAAGCATCATCGGATTCCAGATTCTGAGTGTCTGAGTGCTTGTCTCCAGCAGTCTTCATTGTGGCTTGGCTGCCCACTGACAGGAATACAGGCCTCCTCCAGCACCTCTCTCTGGGCCTGGTTCAGGTGGAGCAGCCTTCGTGATTGTGTGTCCTCACAATGGCCAGAGGAGGAGTGTCATCCCCATCCTCTGCAGGAGGGGGCGGAGCCTTCCAGGGGCCCAGCCTAGGGAACCTCTGAGGATGGCCCTTCACCACTGTCCACAGTGGTGCACTGCCATTCTGTGCACAGTGAGGAAGCTGGCACCGAGCTTCACAGGGCAGGGTGGCAGAACCTATCTGGAGCCTTAAAGGTAAGAATCTGATTAGGGCTAGTGATTCTGCTTTGAGGAATTTTGTCCTGCTCCATGCAAAGATCTAGCTGTGATGATGTTCATGTCCTCTTATTTGTAGGTGGGTCGTTTATACACACAAACACACACACACACACACACACACATATGTATGAGGCTTGTCTGAGCAAAGTCAAGCCTTCATTAATAAAAGAAGTATGGTATGCACAACATCAAGTAACCTGGCAGCCAAGTCAGTAGACTGGAATGCGCATGCGTGAACAATGATGACTTCACTGTACTAGTCAGTGGGGATGGTACTGAGTGAGCATCTGTACTGTGTGGCTGTCACATCAAAATGACTAACTGAGGAGAGTAGCAGATCTGCATCAAATTTTGCATTGAGCTTGAACATTCCCCCGCAGAAAGTATTCAGATGGATCACAGGGCTTTCAGGGATGATGCCATGAGTGCAGTGTGCATGAAAGTGTGGCATAAATGCTTTAAAGATGGTCAAGAATCTGCTCAAAGTGATCTACATTCTGGCAGGCCTGCAACAAGCAGAACACCTGAGAATGTTGAATGTGTACAGGCTGCAATCAACAAAGATTGGTGACTGACAGTGCGAGAACTAGAAGCTGATCTGGGGATTCCAAAAACTACTTCCAAGATTTTGATGTAGGATCTTGTCATGAAACACTTTGTTGCAAAATTTGTTCCATGGCTTCTGCCACCAGACCAGAAGGAACATTGTGCTGCAATTACTAATGACTTGATTCAAACCAGTACCAATGAACCAGATTTCATTACCAATGAACCTGAGATGAATCATATAGGTCTAGGGGCATATCCAGAAATGAAGGCCAAGTCATTCCAATATAAGCCTCCTGGTTCTCCACCTGCAAATAAGGTGTGGTAAAATCACAGCAAGATCAAGCCCATGTTAGTTGTGTTTTTTTACTGGGAAGGTGTTGTGCATCATGAGTACACTTGTCCAGGCTGAACAGTTAATAGGGGGTACTACCTCAATGTTCTTTGTCGGTTGAGCAATGCAAAAAGACAAAAATGGCAGCTATGGGCAACTGGTGATTGGCAACTTCATCATGACAATGTATCTGCTCATGCATCATGACTCCTACAGAGTGTTTTGGAGAAACATCAAATCACCCAGGTGACTCAGCTCTCCTAAAGCCCAGTTTTGGCATCTCGTGACTTCTGGTTTATCCCAAAACTGCAATCACCTTTGAAAGGGAAGATATTTCAGACTGTTGATGAGGCTCAGGAAAACATCACAGGGCAGCTTATGGTGATTCCAACAAAGGATTTTGCAGAGTGTTTTGAATGGTGGAAGAGACTTTGGGAGAACCATGTGAGGTACCAAGATGCCTACTTTGAAGGGGACCGAGGCGTCATTGTCCTATGTACAATGTTTCCTATATCTTGTATCTTCTTCAATAAATGTCTCTTCTTCTTAGTACATGGCTGGATACTTTCTGGACAGGCTGTATAAGCACACATCATGTGTATACACATGTGTCCATGTGTGTGGATATTGCAAATACAGATGTACATAAACACATGTATATACACACATATGAACACACGAACTACAGGTATATACACACATTCATGTGGTGTATGTGTATCACAAGTTCGACTGCCTCTCCTGCTTATGCAGCTGTTTGAGTTTGGGCAAGATCCTTACTTTCTCTAACCCCCCATTGCCTGGCTTACTCATCTGTAAAATGGGGTACTAATAGCTACCTTAGAGGGCTGTTATGAGATCAAATGATATAACCCAGGTAGGGGGTTCAGACTGGTGCAGCAAATGAAGCCACCATTGTCCCCGTGAAGTGATGAGCCACCTGAATAGCCCAGAGTGGATGCTCCCGATGTAGAGGGCAGCCTGTGGGTGCAGGCCGGCTCAGTGCCATAGCGGGGGTCATGGCCAGGATCTGTGCCTACAAGGGCATGCGCCTGGCCAGTATACTATATGGCTTCTCAGGATGCTGCAAAATTTGGGCTAACATCCAAGATAACCTGCTTGTCCTTCAGTCTGGCAGCAACCAGAAGTTATGGCGAGTCTGGGGTGGGGGGAATGGGATTTGGTGATATCTAGCACAGTTACAGATGTGGGACTTGTGGACCCAGCATTACTCTTTCTAGGAACCCATGCCCAAGATAGTCTAGCAAAAATATCAAATGATGTAGTCACAAGGCTATTCACTGCAGCAGCAAAAACTAGACATAACACAAATGTCCATCCACTTATCTATTCTTCAGCTACGAAAAATAGAGGGAAGGAGGGGAGTGAGGAAGGGAGAAAGAGGTGGAGGTTAGGGAGAGGAAGAAGGAAAAAGAAGAAGAGAGAAGATAAAAGAGGAAAATCTCCATACATTGCTATAATGTAGTCTCTGAAGGAGATATTGACATATTGTTAAGAAAAATGCGTAGCCCTGGCTGGTGTAGCTCAGTGGATTGAGTGCGGGCCTGCGAACTAGAGTATTGGGGTTCGATTCCCAGTCAGGGCACATGCCTGGGTTGCAGGCCAGTTCCAGTTCCCAGCAGGGGACACATGAGAGGCAACCATACATTGATATTTCTCTCCCTCTCTCCTTCCCCTTCCCTCTAAAGATAAATAAATACAATCTTAAAAAAAAAGAAAAACAAGTGTGTATTTCACCATTTTCTGTATGAAGCTATATAATTTCCATGAAGAAATAAAGTGGTTGACATTGAGGGACATGGGTGAAAGCAGGCTCTCTCTGAATATACTTTACTTTATTGCTTTGACTTCAGAACTGTATCATTATTTATTTCTAATTACTAAGGAAGTAAAAACAACAATGCTGAAATATGGAAAGCAGGCAAAACCAAACAAATGTGAATATATATGTCAAGATTTCTTACAAGAGAAACAAAGTACATGCCATAAAAGAAAAACTTGAAAAATGACTTTATCAGACCTGAGAGGGCCAGCTCTTTAAAGGCACAGAGAGAAAACAAAAGGCAACCCATGGCTGGAAAAAATCATCCGCAGTTCATATGTGTGACAAAGCACCACATGTATCCAGATATAAAAGAGCTCCTTCCACTCAATAATAGTTATTTAAAAAATGCAATATTAGCCCTGGCTGATGTGGCTCAGTTGATTAAGTGCTGGCCTTTGAACCAAAGGATCACCAGTTTGATTCCCAGTCAGGGCATATGCCTGGGTTTCAGGCCAGGTTCCCCAGTAGAGGGCTTATGAAAGGTAACCACACTTTGATGTTACTATCCCTCTCTTCCTCCTTTCTTTCCCTTCTCTATAACATAAATAAATAAAATCTTTAAAAAATGCAATATTAAAATGGGTAAAAAAACCAAAATAGACACTTCACAAAAGAAAACATAGGAGACTTCTGGCCAAGATGGAGGTATAAGTAGAAAAACTGTGCCTCCTCACACAACCAAAAGGAAAACAACAAATTAAAAAACAAAGGATAACTGGAACTGCCAGAAAATCAAACTGCACGGAAACCAAGGAGTTAACGAAGAAACATTCATTCAGACTGGTAGGAGGGGTTGAGGTGGGCAGCCAGGGAAGACATATAGGGAGGCAGTGGCTAGAGGACTGGATACACTGGGAGGAACAATTGGGGAGCGAGACAGACCACACAACCCAGGACTCCAGTGCAAGAAAATATGGCCTCAAAACCTCTGGTTCTAAAAACCTGTAGGGGTTGCAGCAGTGGGATAAACTCCCAGCCTCATGGGAGAGTTTGTTGGAGAGACCCACAGGGTCCTAGAACATACACAAACTTACTCACCCAGGAATCAGCACCAGAGGGGTACAATTTGCTTGTGGGCAGTGGGGGAAGTGACTGAAAGCCGGCTGAGAAACCAGCAAGTGACATTGTTCCCTCTTTGACCTCTTTCCCACATACAGTACCGCAACACAGCTATGTAGGTTGCCTCTACCTAGTGAATACCTAAGGCGCTGCCCCTTTCTTTGTAACAGGTGTGAGGAGACAAAAAAAATATATGGCCCAAATGAAAGAACAGATCAAAGATACAAAAATAACAGTAAGTGATGGAGAAGTAGCCAACTTATCATATGCAGAGTTCAAAACACTGATAATCAGGGTGCTCACAGAAATGGTTCAGTATGGTTGCAAAATAGAGGAAAAGGTGAAGACTATGCAAAGTGAAATAAAAATATACAGGGAACCAGCAGTACAGGGAAGGAAACTGGGACTCAAATCAACAATTTGGAGCAGTAGGATGAAATAAACATTCAACCAGAACAAAATGAGGAAACAAGAATTCAAAACAATAAGGAGAGGCTTAGAAACCTCTGGGACAACTTTAAATGTTCCAACATCTGAATTCTAGGGGTGCCAGAAGGAGAGAAGGAAGAGCAAGAAATTGAAAACTTACTTATCCAAATAATGAAGGAAAACTTCTCCATTCTGTCAGAGGAAATACACTTCCATGAAGTCCAGGAAGCTCAGAGAGTCCCAAAGAAGTTGGACCCAAGGAAGCACACACCAAGGCACATCATAAGTACATTACCCAAGACAGAGATAAGGAGAGAATCTTAAAACCAGAAAGATAAAAGGAGAGAATTACCCACAAAGGAGTTCCCATTAGACCTTCGGCCGATTTCTCAAAAGAAACCTTGCAGGCAAGAAGGGGCTGGAAAAAAAGTATTTGAAATCACTGAAAGGGTAAGGATCTACATCCAAG